TTATAAGACTTTGGCCGCCGCCATACAGCTGGAATATTGCTGAACTCACTCACTCTTTATAAGACTTTGGCCTTTATGATAAATTGATAACATATGTCCCATTATGAAACAAACAAAAATAACAAAGCAATGTGAACTTTGAAATGGTCACTCAGAGCCAGAGGTTCTACTAAAAAGTCCAAATAAAAGATTGGTCAAATCTTTGAAGGGCATTTAGAAGTTGAATGGATAAGAAGAGCAAGATTTATGGATGTCAACTTCTTTATTGTGAATAACACGACGCTTCGGAGTGTATGCTTGCTCCTTCATGACCTGATGAAGGAGCAAGCATACGTTCCTAAACGTCGTGTTATTCACAACAAGAAGTTGACATCGTGACAAACCATAATCTTGCTTTTATTAAAAGATTGGTCCATTTGAAGCCACTTAATTCCTCCAAAACGTCACATATGAAACCATTCAAACCCACAAAACTTAAATCATTGGTAGAATATTTGGCACTTTTGGTACCACTTATAAAGACACTTTCACTTGTAAAATGTTACATGAAACCAACAGAAATAAAAGTATATTTGGCACTTTCCGGGCACATTTTATTGTTATGAAAATAAGGGCAGATAATTCAAAGGGAGCTAACTCTGGATGACCCAATATATTGCAGAACTCGAACCATATCGCGATAATCGTATCGCGAGATACCGGTTTACCGGCAATATTGCACAGCCCTAGTATGCGGTTTCCCCAAACACGATAAGGGAAACCACAATGTGTCGCTGTCACGTAAATTCAAAGATTGGACACTGCTTGAAATCAGATTGATATGTTTTAGATACATACGTCTGTAAATGATTCTTAGACCGTACACCATTATTGTGGTGCGTATCTACTACGTTTCCTAAATTATATTCTACCGTATGATGCATATTTTTTTATCCGTACATACGCCGATATGTTCCTTATCTGGAGCCCTGCATCGGATTGATCTGACTGACGACACGCCCTTCAAACAACGTCATCGGAGAGTACCCCATCCATGTTTGAAGAAGTCAAAAAAAAAAAAAAAAGACCATTTGAAGCAGTTGATGGCTTGTGGAGTAATCAGGACGACCCATAGTCCATGATCATCAAATGTTGTACTTTGCCGTAGAAAGAATGGAAAATTGAGAATGTGTTGTGACATGAGACAGTTGAACCAAGGGGCCGTTAATGACAGTTATGCGTTGCCAAGAATTGAGAAACGTCTGAACAATCTAGCTGGAAATATATATTTCACAAAGTTGGACATGAAATCGGGTTATTACCAAGTAAAGATTTTGGAAGAACACAAGGAAAGGACAGGCTTTACGGTGGGCCCTCTAGGCTATTATGAGTACAACAAGCTTCCATTTGGGTTATGTAACAGTCCAGCAACGTTTCAGCGTTTAATGGAAGAATGTCTAGGGGACTTCAAATTTGCTGTATTTACATAGGTGACCTGATTATTTACTCTCGCACGCTGGAAGAACACAGTGAAAGACTTGCCAGGGCTTTCCAACGACTCAGAGAATGTAATCAGAAGTTAGCTCCCGACAAGTGCTTATTTGTCAAGAGAAAAGTACAGTATGTTGGACTTGCCATATCTGAGGAAGGAATAGAACCTGATTCGAGCAAGATCGAAGTTATTAGGAATTGGAAAACACCAACTTCTCCCACTGAAGTTCGGCAGTTCTTAGGATTTACATGTTAGTATTGGCAATTTGTTCCAAACTTTTCAATGTTTACCAGGCCTTTAAGTGTCTTAATGCCAAGTTCAAATGAAAAGGGTAAATCAGTAAAGGCGTTTATCTGGGAACCGGAACATGAAAATGCTTTTCAAGAATTGAAGGATAAATTCACTTCACTACCGGTACTAGGATTTCTCAATGATTCCTTACCTTTTGAACTTCATACAGATGCCAGTCAACAAGCTGTAGGAGCAGTACTCTATCAGAAGCAGAATGATAAACAGAGAGTGCGTGCCTATGCAAGCAGAGGATTGAACATATCTCAACAGTATTACCCAGCACACAAGCGGGAATATCCTGCACTCAAGTGGGCTATCACCGACAAATTTCATGATTATCTGTATGGACATTCATTTACTGTATACACAGACAATAATCCCTTGACATATGTCTTGACATCGGCCAAACTAGACGCCACTGGATGCAGATGGTTGGCATCTGCTACTGCATACCACTTCAATGTCGTATATAGACCAGGAAAAGCAAACATTGATGCAGATGTTCTATCAATTCAATTCAATTCAATGCTTTATTGTACGAAAGGCCACAGGCCCATATACATTCGAGTTACATATATTTCTGAAGCAGAACAAAAATACAATGATGTTAACAATAGGATGTTTTGCGTAATATTAAAGCATGGTGTATAAACAGAGCAATTTGGAATTGGATTGTGGGGTTATTGCAGGATAACAGCTTCTTAAAACTATATATAGACATGGAGTTGTATGGAGGTAAGTACTTAGATCTAAGTTGAGCATAGATGGGGCTGACATATATGAAGTGGTACTCGTTTTCAACGCAATTATTACATATTTTGCAAAGTCGGGCTGATTTCTCGATGCCGTGGTGTCTTCCTTTGTTCACTTCCAATTCACTGAGACCAAGTCTGAATCGTATAAGGGTATTTCGCAGAGATTTAGGTTTAATGTTGTGGAGATAGGTTTCAGTTTCAAAGTTCGATTTTATATTGCGATATGTGTTGTATCTTGAGCTCTCCTCAAGACATGAATGCCAATCCTGTTTGAACATGTCAGTGGCGCGAGTACGAAATATTTTCAGAAAGGAATGACAGTCGCCCACTGTTTGTGAAGTCCATACAAGGCCGAATCCATAGGTGAATAGTAAGTTCTTTATTGATGAAGCCCACGTGTTTTTGCCGATTTCGTGTAGGTGGTAAAGCATGTTATACGCTTTCTGCGGTAAGCGATGGGCTGGCATATGAATCAGTTTAATCCAGTAGCGTAAGATGTTCTATCGAGACTGCCTAGCTCTGCAAGTCGAGATACAGCTGACGGAAAGCAGGAGATCAAGGAGGATTCTATCAGAGCCATCTGTAATTCGATATCATGCCAGAACCTTGGGGAATGTCTCAGTGTCAAGTGAGTCTGTGATAGAGGACGGAGTTGAAATGAATGCAATGACTAACAGAGACTGAAAAAAGGCCAAAGCTGCTGATCCAATCCTTGCAGTTCTCATTAAATGTGTTAATGAAGGGAAAAGGCCACCTCGTGATTACCTACCGTCTACAGAGTTTGCTGGCTTCCAGCGGCAGTTTGATCGATTCTGGTTTAAGCGAGGAGTGCTTTATGGAATAACTAATGAAGATGAAGAGACAAGAAGTCAGTTGATTCTTTTGCCTGCATTCAGAGAGAAGGCTCTTAGAGGTTTGCACGATGATATAGGGCATCTCGGACGAGACCGGACTTTATCCTTACTACGTGATCGCTTCTATTGACCTGGAATGGTTCGGGATGTTGAATCATGGGTTCAAAGTTGTGACAGATGCACCCGGCGCAAGACAAAGACCAATACCAGAGTGCCACTTGTAAATGTCACGACACCATGTCCACTGGAACTTGTCTCTATGGACTTTTGGACCTTGGAACCATCTAAGGGTAACTTTCAGCATATTCTAGTTATCACTGACCATTTCACCAAGTACGCACATGCCATTCCAACCAAAAACATGACAGCCCGAACAACAGCTGATGCATTGTTCAACAAGTTCATAGTACATTATGGAATACCTACCACAATTCATTCTGATCAGGGTGCAAACTTTGAAAGTAAACTGATAAAGGAACTATGCAACATCATAGGAATGGAACAAATCGCGTACTACTGCATATCATCCAATGGGAAATGGACAATGTGAACGTTTTAACTGAGCATTGTTGAATGTTGGGCACTAACAAGAACGCAGATTGGAAAACTCATGTGGGACCGCTTGTTCATGCCTACAACTGCACAACGCAAGAAACAACCGGATATACCCCATATATGTTGTTGTTTGGTCAGTATCCAAGATTGCCAATAGACATTGCTTTTGGGATTCATAGGAACCCAAGCTATAAAAAGCTACTGTCATACACAAAGACATTGTGTCTGCGACTTCAAGAAGGATAAAAGTTGGCATCAGAAGTGTCTATCAAATCACAAGAAAGACAAAAGAAAAACTGCGAGGAGCTGGAATTCACATAGGTGATAGGGTGCTGGTGAAGATTTTAGCACATGATGGTAGACGCAAGTTGGAAGACAAATGGGAGGAGGAAGTTTATATTGTCACTAATCAACCAAACGTCGGAATCCCGTATACGTGGTTTCACTTGAGGTTGGTGATAGTAGGAAGGGAACTGTCCATCGCAATCACTTGTTGCCCATAGGACATTTACCATGTTGGTAAGATGATCGCATCAAGCATATGCCGAGTATACATAAGTCTAAATCTGAGAGTGATTTGACTGAAGCTAAATTCACCTGTCCAGAGGATGACCCCGTTCTTATTGATACAGTTCCTGTCTTGAGTACAGACTCAGCTGCTTATGGATTACTTACAGTGTCCAGTGGAGTTGCACCTGAGCTGAGACCGCCTTCGTGGTGTAGTGGTTAGAGCGTCCGCCCGGAGATCGGAAGGTCGCGGGTTCGATCCCCGACCGCGTCATACCAAAAGACGTTAAAATATGGTACTTGTTGGTCCCTGCCTGGCGCTCGGCATTAATGAGTACAACAAGGACTGGTCGGCTCGGAGTCAGTATAATGTGTCTGAGTGGGGTATTCATGCTTCACTGCGGCATGGTATCTCAGTGGGCTAGCACTATAAAACCAGCTTCAGTCTGGGCTAGTACAAGCAGCCGCACATACACATATACACGCATGCGCGTCGTCATATGAGCGAAATATTCTCAAGCACGACGTAAAACCCAATTTCACCTCACCTCACCTGAGCTGAAAGTTATGGAAGACGTTCAGCAGGATGGTGACGATCATCTAGATGCTGGACAAGACCAGGAATCTGAAAAGGAGTGGGAGGGAATAGACAGGATCTCAGATGTTTGTCCCAAAAACTGTTGCTAAAACAGAATCAGAGATTGCTGAATATAAAGTGCGAGCAACAGAGACTCAGAGACCGTATTTTATACGGTGTAGTTTGTTTTATTTATAAAGTCAAAGCTATACAAAAACATTTTTTTGGGGGTTACATGTATACAGTTTTGTGGGAACATTATTATTCATGGTATTATCTTTGCCTGTTCTATTTGTAGGCCAGGTTGATGAATGTGCATGTCAGGTGCATTTCGTGCTAGTGGGAATGTTTGTTATAACTTTTAGGATTTTGATTGGGTATCGGTTCATCTGCCTCAATAAGATCATACCTCGTGGTGTCTGGTGGTTGTCATTACATTCTGAGAGCTGAACGTGGGGTCGAGCCAGAGTAGTCACCTGGGGGAATTCTTCCTCCAATAACAAATAAACGGACTCACACCCCGCAGCAAGTCGTGAAGACGTGTTTTCTCGGCGTGAGCCGTCACATAAAATTTAGGTCAAGATTTTCATGTAACTAGATACCTAAATTCTTGCACGAGTATTAATCTCTACAGAGTCCTCGCCCATTCTAAATTTGTAGACAGACTTTTTTGTTTTTGTAGTTTAATTTTCTTTTTTGAATCCATGTTACAGTCAAGACTCAGCAGCCAGGGAACCGCTCAGCCAGAAGTTATGCAGCAATCTAATGGGATACAGGTGATACGAAACAAGACAAACCATTCACTCACCATTCACACAAACACAAAATTAGTTTTAATTATCAAACAAATTAATTAAGAATATAATTAATTCAGTCATTTTTAAATAAGCCATGATACAAGAGCCATTTAGAATAAAATTCGGCATTGCAGCTTTTGCTAAAGAATATACATTTTTCAATACTATATCTCAATCTCAACTCACTTCTGAACTGAGTAATATTTGGTAAAGCAGGATTGAGCATGCATTTAATAAGTAAATATTTGCCCAATAATATGAACAAGTCAATTTGTCTGTATTATTTCCCCCAAAACTCTGAGTGGCACTGCGAACAAACCTTCGAGACTGCGACCGCTATCTTTGTTGACACTGGCAAGCTCGGATGTAACGGCGGCTTAGCTGATTGGCTACTGTGAGAATGCGGAGCCAGCAAAGGGAGGTAATATAATCATCGGGCCAAACCGTGGATGCATCCAGGGTATAGTGGAGAGTGATCGTAACGTATACCCTGGAGATTATCGAAGATGTGTTGGCATTTCTGGTAACACAATGGCTGATTTCGCTGCTAAGGCAGCACTCAACAAATATGTAACACCACTTCACATTCCATACTCTGATTACAAAACTATCATAAGATCTCATATCCGTGATCTGATGCAAAAGAAGTGGGACACCCAAGTAAGTATCAATAAATTACATGCAATGAAACCAACTATCGGTTACACCTACTTGGGTTCTCAGTCCAGATTTGAAGAGGTCACTATGCGACGATGTCGCACTGGCCATACTAGATACACTCACGAATATTTGCTCAAAGGTGAAGATAGTCAAGCATGTCCTGCTTGACTGCATTGATTTTACGATCACAAAGGATAAATATTACAATGTCAAAACAATTAAGGATCTTTTTTATAATGTTAATTATCATTTAATAATTGATTTTTAAAAAAGAAATCGAATTATTAGATCAATTTTGAATAATATGTTATGTAAATAGATAAATGGTCTTTTAAACACGGTAGTAAAATTAGCAACTGAAATTGTTAGTGGATGTATCCTCAAAGGGGGTTAAAGTAGTAAAATCGAAGTAAAATTTTGATCTACCTTCAGTAGTAGGCGACCTAGATCCTGTTTTTATATTGTATTGTCTTCGTAACTAAAATAGTTTTAGATTTACATGGTAGTTTTAAACACCATCTATGATACTCTAGTTATTTTACAGTTCTTTGATGACTGATATTTTAACAAATTATATTTATTGTGTATGCAAAATCTTTCTCGTCACAACATGGCTCTAATATTTTGCCGAGGTGACGTTAAATGTTAACTCACTCACTCAATCACTCACTCACTCTCGTAGGCCTTAAGGCGTAGGCGGTGGGGTAGCCAAGTGGTTAAAGCGTTGGCTCGTCACGCCGAAGACCCGGGTTCGAATCCCCGCATGGGTACAATGTTTGAAGCCAATTTCTGGTGTCCCCTGCCGTGATGTTGCTGGAATATTGCTAAAAGCGGCGTAAAACCAAACTCAGTCAGTCAGTCGTAGGCCTTATGGCCGGATATTGCATATTATGTGACTATTATGTATGTTACAATGCAAAAAGTGACATGTTAATAAAACAATCTTTTTCTTCTTCTTCTTCTTCTTCTTCTTCTCTTCTTCTTCTTCTTCTGTAATTCTACTGAAACAAATACATGCTCATGACATTGTCAGAATTGTACAATCGATTCTTCTTTTACCTTTTTACCCTTTCTTTTGTCTTATGGAAAGGGTTTTGTCGCTTCTATTTGACATGTGTAAATGAGTAAAGGCCTACAACTAAAACACGAACATAAGCACCACTTTGTTCCAGATGAGTATAAATATCGAACCATTGACGTCTTCATATAGTTTCCTCGAAAGTGCGAAATATCCTCCCTTTTCTCATTAAAGCCATGCTTATTGATACAAATATACTGAGGGGAAAACATATGGGATCACATGAAAGGACAAGTGTTCCTTTATGTTTTTCTAGGTTTCTTCCCAAGCTTTGCATCGCAAGGCTTGTGAAGAAACCTGGCAAAACATAAGGGTACACTTGTGCTTTCAGGTGATCCCTTATTTTTCCCCCTCAGTATATGACAGACGTAAAAACACCGCAAGAAAGAAAAAAGATGAAAAAGCTAGTCGTCAGCTATTTGAATGTGTCTGATACTGATGACAGTAAAATAGTGTTCTGCAAGTTTTCATTTATACATTTCACCACTGCTTTCCCTTCTAAACCCGATGGAATCTCTTTCGGCAGATAATTGAAAGTGATTTTAATCTAATGTTGACGTTTTAAAGTTATGGCAGTCACAAGATAGATACAATTGCCACACATTACATATTTCACTGACCCAAAATATGTTTTTGTAATATGTGTACAAGCCCATTCAGCAAGTAAGACCTCGTATCTTATGCAGGCATCAATACATTAACGGAACAACCGACAAACACTTTTCTATATGAATATACTGACATGTTGGGAATCAGCATTCAACTATGGTGTCTTGTGCATCGCCACAGTCATTATTTTGCGATATTTGTAGCTCATATAAGACAATGTTCAAAATCCCTATGATATTTCGCTTGTTGTTTTCTTGGAGACTGAAGTTAAGGTGAAGTGAAAGAAGCATGCTTTTGTGACGTAAATACTAAAAGCGTGTTAAAATGTACCTAACTGCAGTACATGTAATAACACTGTGGTCGACTGCAATACATTGTTATGAATGTGCTGCAGTAAATTGTAATGTACACTGCGTCAATTTGTAATATCTCAAACTGTGGTAGATTGAAATGATTACTGTTGTAAATCTCACAGTCATGTGTACGAGGAAACATAAAGTTTACATTCTACCGGAAATAATGTAAATTATAAAAAATCTGGAAATAATAAACAAATCTCCAATTCTTCCAATTTCAAAACCTTTGCTAATTTGACTTCCTGTATTTGTTCAACTTTAACATTGTTAAAATTAGCATGAAAATGAGGGAGTTATATCATTTATTCCCTTTAAAAACCAATAATTAAATGCTGCGTCAATTTGTAATATCTCAAACTGTGGTAGATTGAAATGATTACTGTTGTAAATCTCACAGTCATGTGTACGAGGAAACATAAAGTTTACATTCTACAGGAAATAAAATAGGAAATAATAAACAAATCTCCAATTCCTTCCAATTTCAAAGAAATTTGACTTCCTGTATTTGTTCAACTTTAACATGTTAAAATTAGCATGAAATGAGAGTTATATCATTTATGCATTCATTTATCCTGAGACGTCTGTGCTACATATTTTAATAACTGTGAATAAATGTAACTATTTATAAATGTAAATTCTTGATAAACATATTTATAGAATCTTGCATTGTTTTGATTCCATCTCCGGCGTACATATACAAGAATATGTACAACAGTAATATAACGAACATAGTGTTAATGTAAATGTAGTGAGATGTAGTTAAACATCTACCTATCTACCTACAAAAATATAAAGACTTATCATTAAGGGAGTAACACTATGAGCCCTTGAGCTCACAAGCTCACATGGACGATTTCAATACTTCAAAATAACAATGTTAAATAATTAGAAATTGAATCATGACAAGGATCTCCCTAAGCATATTGATACACAAAAGTAATAAATCTATTAATACTCTGGGCTTGAAAATATACGCGACATAATTAGAAAGTAAAATAAAAGTGGTCATACGCAGTTGTCGTCGGCAGAGATCAACAAATTGAGATGATGCTCTTACATAATGAAGCTAGCGTTGCCTACATTTATCACTGGTGACCACACTCATGAAACCAAATGCTGACATAGACATATTGATATCGCCTAGAAACGAGTCCATCTTGTATTATCGCAACTGTATATTTATGTTTGCTTTTATGCCCCTGCAGTGCATATTTCCTTCAGGGCAGACGCACACGGTGCATTAGAGTACTATTTTTTTTTTAATCAAACCAAACAAAACAACAACCTTAATGCATTAAATATATTAAGTAAGTTTTCCATTATAGTTGAGAATTGTATATTCATGTTATGCGAGAATTCTCTTTATTAACACAATATGAGATCTACTACCTGCTTTTGTTTGTGTAAACGATGAATACTCCATTTCGTATATGTTAAAAGAGAGTGTCATAGCGGGATATCTCTGTTACAAGAATCAATTATGGAGGGTGTATCCATCTCACTGGGAGGAAAATTGGTATAGATATAGTTTTTGTGGAGGATGCCATTAAAGTAACTATTGATAACCTTGAATGTTTGTGTGATTGTATTAATGTGCAACATTTTCCGTGTGATATAAGAGGTATGACAGAAAGTTCAATGGACGTCGTGGTACATATACAGCCCTTGGTGTGATTGGGTCGAGCGATTTGTTTACACGGTGGACAGGTTTTAACATCGAATCTTGGTCAGAGTAACCCCACCTGCCAATCAACTGTTCATTTCAGTCACGTAACATCGGTATCAGCGGTGAAGCTACGCAAATATTTTCTGAAGAAAACTAAAAAGAAGCAACAGTGACTGGTCAGCCATAGTTTGATTCTGAATGCAGCCGAAACATTAACACTGTTATGTAATATATGTTCGTCATAAATTAGTATTGAATATTTAAAATGCGAAAGTATTTTGGTCTATATTAACATAATATATCTCGCCAATTGCACGAAAAGAAGAAATACCTTTAGATGATTGGTTCTGACGTATATGAAACCTCTTTCAATATTTTAACTCTAATGATAGCAAAAGATCACAAGTGGATGGTGATGCTGATTGCATTAATCGCTAAAAAATCGAAGGCGCCTTGCGTTGAAATATAATTCCTGAGCTTTTAAACATTCTATGGATGTATTGGTACAATGTGTTGAATTGTCCTCCAACAAATTATTTCATTCCTCTCGTTTTCCAGATGTTTGTAAACACCAGGATAACTGCATCCATTCTCAACAATAGGGTATAAT